GTTAACAACCTGTTTCTATATGAAGGTGTTGCCAGATCGAAACAAAATTTAACATGTGTTCATAACAGAGGTGGAAGTTTTCAAAACACTTAAAATCTTTCTGTTCATACTGATATACCATTTTTCGAAATTCGTACCTATGAGTACTAATAGTACTAAATTTTGTACAATTTAAATTTTGAGAGAAATTCGAACTTATGTGTATTAAATGGTACAAAATTTGGTGCAATTTAAATTTTGGGAGAACCGGTAGAGTTGGAACCCTGCAATTTGGAAAAAAGAGATTTCTATTGGATTGTATGATGTATATAGTTATGGAAATTTGTATTAATGTGTACCAAATTGTTTATTGGCTACAATTTGGATTTGGGTGAACCGATAGAGCTGGTATCCTGAAATTTGGAATTGGGATTACTATTGCATTGTAGGATTGGGTTATGTAGGAACTTTGAAAATCGTACTTGTTTTGTACTAAATGGTACTAAATCAAATTTGAAACTAAATGGCAAATTTTGCGGAGTTTAGAGAAAAATATTTGAGGCCCTTCGTGTGTGGTTAAAGCTACATAATTGCCCCTAAAACGTTTGGCCTGGGAACCTAAAACCCTTTTGCGATTTTGATCTGCTATCCAAGTACTATTCACTTAGAATTTCCCAACCCCCATATTGGGTGTTGAACAATGTCATTACTCGCTATTGCGCAAAGACCCCCGTATAATGGTACCTTCCATTTAAATATTTTGAAGGAGGGTATGAATTCTTTTCTTACTAAAATTTTAATTCGATCTACAATTTTGTATAGTCCGTTTATTGAATTCCTCTTTATATCCCAATTTAATTTCGAGTTCTCATTGGGCGTATTACTGCCTAATGAAAGGAGTAGGTCCACGTTTTGATATGACCTCTATACAGCTGTGTCGGCCAGTTTTTGTTTGTTTGGAAATATTACAATTTTACATCGTATTGTGCTCTGATCTCATTTTCTTTAGCTTACATTCGAAATTGAAACAAAAAATGTTAACTTCAATAAAACATTTCAAATTGAAATAATTTTATGGGGTATTTAAAATTATGAAAAATTAAAAAAATATATCACCAAAAAAAAAAATTAACTTTCATTTTTTTGGCGTATTGACCAATAAAGAAAGAAAGAAATGGTGTGAATTGTCAAAAACAGGTCAGCGGCTCTTGAGTTATAAGCGTAGTAACTAACATAAACATCTTTAAAAATAATACATTATTTTGTTCGCACAAAAAAAACTATTGAATTCAATATAAGTCAAATTGAAAAAAATCGTACATTATAAAAAATTGACAAAAAAAGAAAAATAAATTCTTGAACATGATTACCACCCGAAATAACTATAAAAAAGTATTTGTTTTATTTTTAGAATTATATTTCTTGTTAAGTCCGCTGCTGGTACTGAACTTGCAACCTTATGATTTGTATTTCAACACAATGTGCCACTGTTGCGCACATGAAGTATTGGTTAATGTTTATAGTACGATTCGCATATTCTATGTCTACGTTACTCATTGCTTGATATGACGAAAGTTAATTAGTTTACTACGTGAGTTGTTTCTTCTAAATCCATTATTTTCAGACAATTGGCGAGCAAGAAGTTAGTTTACATCAACTTTGTGAAATTGGTTACTCGACTTATACAGCAACTTCAATATACAAATTCAGTTGCGAGTATATACTTACCATTTCGAGTTTCCAGCTAATGTTTCATGTTAACTACTGTTTCCAAGTTGTGTTCCTTGTCCATCCAAATTAGGCGAAATGCAAAGATTCTTAATTTTATCGTTTCATTTGTGTATGGTTTTTACAAAGACAATGTGTTATAGTCTGTTGATCATTATCTGAGCTTTTCTTTCGAAATTACTATGTTGGACAAGAAGGAATTTTTTATACCTCTGGACGACTTATAAACCCAAAGAAATCGTTGGCAGTTTGGGCGACTGTGTTGTGGAATAGACAACATCTGCCCTTATGTAAATTTATTTTCCTTTTTAAAGTCTTTTATATGCTTTGGAGAGTTTTTGCTTTATCTGATTGTTGTTTTTACATGTAAGTTTTTGCGTTCTGCTAATCTGGTCCCAACTCCAGGTTTAGAAATTCGGCTGCTTTAATGGGCTGTAGCCAGCGATCTTCTGGAGGGTACGTTTGGCTGTGCAATTAAAGAGCTGCAATGTATTGCAAGGGTCTGTATCACACGCCGGGCAGGCGTCACGCAACTCTTCATCAACTCGTGGCCAATACGAATTGAGACGACTACACCATCCTGAAAGTAATTGCACCAAAACTACCCCAGTTTGTCTAGGCGGTTGGCGTTCTTCAGCTGCAATATATGGGAGTGGACTCCGAGGACGGCATTCATTAAGACCTGCCTGATAGGCTTGTACGCATCCCAAGTACTGCGGGCTAGCGCCTTGAGGACCTTGTTTCTATTTTTCACCTTGTTGCAGATAGGTGTGGCTTGCGCGGACGACTTGTTGTCGAATGTGACCCCTAGAATCTTGGGGTAGTTCGTGGTCGGTATTAAATTCCCCTCTACCTGCACATTCAGCTGTGTTCTCATCTCCGCAGACCATGTGGCAAAGAGTGTAGCATTAATTTCGTTGCGGATATTTTCATATTCCTCTCGTGGAAGTATGCGCCAAGCTCCGCGAGATAGCGGTTTAGCGTTTCACTTATGTCATCGACCGCTGGGCCGGACGCCATGATAGTACAATCATCCGCATATATTACAATCTCTATGCCATCTGTAGGGCGAGAAATTCCGAAAAGGTAGAGGTTAAACAGTTTCTGTTTCACTCTACTGGCTTGGGACTTCTTGTTCCGGAATTCCACGTACGACTGGCGTCCACACATATAGTTGATTATCCAACGTTTCAACCTTGGTTGGAGGGTGGTTATCTGCACGTCCTCAAACAGTATGGCATAATTGTTCGTATCAAATGTCTTTGATTGGTCAAGGGCTACCAACACAATTCTGCCACACGGCTTGTTCTGGTTCAATCCTCTACTAATATGTGTGGAAATGGCGTGTAATGCTGTTGTAGACGGAATTCGTGCTGATGGTTGGCAACTGGATAGCTTCCTTTAATGCTAGGGAGGAGTAAAGCATCAAGAGTCTTACCTACTACAAAAGCGAAATCGGCGTGTACGATTCGCCTTGACTGGCATCCCTTCCTGGCTTCTGTAGCGGAACCAGTCGACCCATTTTCCAGGCTTGGGGCACTATGTGGGTGGCTAGCGACAGGTTGAGAACTTTCGTTAGGTACTCGACTCCCGGCGTATCCAGCTGTTTCAGCATTACCATTCAGATTCCGTCCGGGCACAACGCTTTGGATAACTTAGCGTTCCGGATGACATTTGCCACTTCAGCCATCGTAAACTGTGGTGGTTCTTCCTCAGCGGGAAGAGATATGATACGACGTAATACTCTTCGCTTCATCTGTCGCTCAAATCGGTTCCAATGTTGCAACACTTCAGATGGTCTAGCCACTTTTTGACGGGTCGCCAAGTCACGTAATTTATCAGACCGGGTGACACTATGGTTAAGTATGGCGAACTGTGACACTCTCCTCTCAGAATATGGAGCAGTCAATCTGCTCTGTCAGCGCTGATCCCCTCTGGTCATTACCGAGGACGGAATGCCACAACTCGTGGTGGGCATTAAAATCCTCTAGTACCAGACGGTTATTGCCTACCAACAATGGGCTAATATCTGGCAAATAACGCGGTTCACAGCTATTAATCGGCGGGATATACACATTAAGCACACTTGACCGCTACCCCCATACATTCCGTGTATGGATCAGTAAAGACTAGCTCAAGCGAGATAGGTCTGTACTGAACAGAATGGTGTAACAGGAAAGCTAGTCCCCCAACTCCATTTCTGCTGCGATCCTTCCTTAGTACGTTGTAACCATGCACAGCTGCGATATTAATGTTCCTCCGAATCATAAATTCTACTATCTCATCTATTTTACCTCGGAGTCCGTTGCAATTAAATTGCCAAAACGATGCACAATCCGGTGTTGGAACAACATGTAGCGTTAGATGCTGCGGTGTTGGTTGCTGTTCTGGAGACTGTGGCGGAGTTCCATACTCCGACGACGCCTCTGATGAGGATGACGAAGAAGTGGACTCACTGGGGACTACGTTACTGCAGCACGTCGCAACATAATCCCTTTCGCTGTAGTCTCGCAAACGCCTTAGTCCGGAACAGTTCTTGAAGTGCACCTATTCTCTACATCCATTACATCGCACCGAAAAATATCTGCAGTGGATGACGTTCTGACAAACCGAGCAGAACCAAGGTCCGGGGTTTCCTCAATCCCGCCACGGACAAATAAAATCCGGAGCAAGCATTCCGGGATATGCAGAAAATAAACAAACACAAACATGTACATACTGGGTTGGCAGCCGCTGGCCGAAACTGGGATGTTGTTCTTTCAGGTCAATTTCCGGTATCGTAAAACCCGCGGCCGTGGAATTGGCTTTATATGGTCTGTTATTGCAACGTCGAAAAAATGAAATTAACAACTCCATCTACACTTAAAATTGGACTTAAAGTTATGCTATTTACTCTTATAATAAATCCATTCACATGTATTTTTATAATTAAAAACAGGCATTGACGTGGAACAAGTTACAATTGTGGTCAACTTCGACTTACCAATGGATGCAAAGGGTAGAGCAGATTGTGAAACATATCTACATCGCATTGGCAGAACTGGAAGATTTGGTTTGTTCAAAATAAGTATACTGTTATATGACGATTATTGATCCTTAAATTCTTTTTTACAGGAAAAAATGGAATAGCCATAAATCTTGTTGACAGCGATAAATCGATGGAGATATGTCGTGCTATTGAAAATCACTTTAAGAAGACGATAAAGGAACTAAATGCCGATAATACTGAGGAAATTGAAAAAATTGGAACGTAATTACCATTTCATGTGAAATAAAAATTAGACTTGTCCATATATAATATATGATATTTTTATTTGACCATATGATACATTCCTTCTGAATAAAAATATTTTTAATATAATTAAATGTTTATAAGACATGAAAAATATTAAACGGAGTTAGGTAGCTGGCATGCCCGAACAGCAACGAGTTGGAGCAGTACAAAGATGGGGGAAAACACTTCACTGTATTCTAAATTGGTTTGACCACTTAATTTTAGACATAACAAATATTTAAAAATGGCTACCAAAAACAAAAAGTATGTGCTCCACATAAAGCGATGTAGGGCTTTGCGCTTGTTTTCTGAATCCAAGTACATTCGTAACAATACGATTATGCAGAAGTAGGCATTGCATACATCAACACAAAACAGTGGGCTAAAAATAGTAAACCAGTCAACAGCGTTCTTTCCAATTGTACCGGATATTCGAAACGCAAGTGTTATTGTGAATACAAGAAGCCCACATAAATTGACCATTATTTCGAATTCTGTTAGGCCCAGCCAACGTACAAGCTCCGATAATTTAAACATGATTGATAATAATTGTTTATTCGGCACGATTGTTTACAGTGCGAAGCCGATGTCGTATGTACTGTTTCTGGCTATTTTTATATGAACTGCAGAGTTATTCCTTTTTTGAATGGATACGTCGTCGTCATCACATAATGGGTGGAATTCATCTGTAATTAAATTAGAATAAATTAAGTAGTTTATTGATAAGCAAAATATGATTGCACGAAATTTGTCAGCTAAATATTATGCAATACAAAATATGGTGTTTAGACGGATTCGCTCTCTACAATTAGTTGATATCAAATCAAACGAAATCAGCCGGTCAGATGTAACATGTTGATTCGAGTTACTCTAACGAAAGAGAAAAGGTTTGAGCAAACTTGAATTGACCGAAGCTCTGTGTTCGCAATCAAACAGCTCACATGACTGATTTATTTATAAACTAATTGAGTTGAAGTGTTTATAACGCAGCGATAATCTCGGATGAGTATGATTCGTTTAACTTTTCTATGTAGAGTGAGCGATTCGATTTAATTAAAACACAAAAAATATAATCTGGGCGAAATCATGACTTGTATTTCATAAATTGCTACAGATAGTATATAACAAACATAACATTTTTAATTTTATTTCCCAATTTGTATATTTAGTAAAGCTACCTATAACAATAAAAGTATGCTGTATCTGATAGCTGTGACCAAATATCGTTGTTGTGGGAGCATTTTAAGGGTGTGAGGGACTTAAATACAGATTCGGATGAAACATATATATGGGACCTATAGGTATGTCTACCGATTTTCACAAAATTTGATACATTTTCACTGATTGAGTGCAGGATACCCAAGGGTTTTTAGAATTTAGAACTTTAAGGTCACGAAAAACTGTGTACTGGTACTAAACTTCTAAAATGCCACCATATGGTATTATTTGAATGGATAGAGTTAAAAACTGAAACTAAACTGAAATTTGGTATGAGAATAAAAGTTGAAGAATATGTTTGATATTTGAGGGTGTATTGGAAATGTGTACTAAGTGTGCGAACTGTACTATATTTGGGACAGTTTATTTTAGAGGGAACGCACAGTGTCGTGTTTTCATATAAACGGCGGCCAAAAATATAAGGAGTTATCGTAGAAGAATGAAAATTGGTACACATAACTAATACAAATAGGAAAGGAAAAAAAACGAAGGACTCGCTCACCTCCCATATATGCTGGAATGAAAAAAAAGAAACTTATATTTCTATCCAAATTAAACTTGATTTTTCTTTCTCAGATTTGCAACTATACTGACACTGAAAAATAATGGAATAAATGAAAGGGGGAAGAAGGGGATGGATACTTACTTTTTTTAAATTCGACACGCTTACATAAATAATACATAACAATTTTAAAAAAGTGTTTTTTGGTGTTTTCTTTTAACACTCCACTGAACTTGAAAGTTTTTAATAACTTCGTTTTATAATTTTTGTTTATATTTTGTTCATAATGCATATTTTTTAAAATCGTATATAAGATGTAAAGTTAAGCTTATCTTTTTCAAAAAACCTAAACTTTGATATAAATGTTGACTTACAACCATGATATGGGAACATTGGTATGTCAACATTTTTTAAGTTTTTTTTTATACCCTCCACCACCATGGTATATTAACTTTGTCATTCCGTTTGTAACCCCTTCAGACCCAACAAAGTATATATATTATTGATCAGCGTAAAATTCTAAGTCGATTTAGCAATGTCTGATGTAATCACGGTATCTTTCGAACGAATTGAGATAGAAGGCTAACATTTTGCACACATGTTTATTTTTTAGTAGGCAGGTTACGTTCGTAAATGGTCCATATAGCCCCCATATAAATGTACCTCCCGATATTCGGTATTTTGATGATTTTAGCTACATTATTCACCGGAATTGTTTCAAATTAGGTATTTGAAGTTCGAAATGGATACTACAGCATAAGACAGAAAATTGTCTGTGCAGGTCCACGTCTTCGTATAGTCCCCATATAACAGTACCACCCTATATTCGGTATTTTGATGATTTTAGCGACATCATGAACCGGAATTGTTTAAAATTTGGTATTTGAAGTTCGTAATTGTCTGAGCAGGTCCAAGTCTTCGTATAGCCAGTATTTAGCGGTACCTCCCGATTTTAGCTACATTATTCACCGGAATTGTTTAAAATTTGGTATATGATGTTCGTAATAGATATTACAGCCTATGACTGAAAATTGTCTGTGCATGCCCTTGTTTTGGTATAGTCCCAGCGTTCGAAAATAAACATTATGGTACAGTACCATAGTGTTCTGTACCGTACCGAGGTGGAGTGGTACACTACGATAGTGTACCGTACCGGAACACAACCCTTAAAAAATATTTCAGTGATACTGTACCGGAGCACAACGATAATCGTACTGTACCGCAATCGGAGCACTAAAAAACGTAGTGTTCCTCAGTCGGAGCACTACAAAATCTTAGTGTACCACATGGCGGAACATTAAAAAAATAATCGGCCCAATTACGGTTGTCGTTACTATGGTCGTCGTCGACTTTATGTGAGAGTCGCCCTCGCCGTCGCTTCGATTCAAAAATGGTATTATGGCAAGGCATAGAAGCGACATCGACAGTTCAAAATAAAAGTTGGCAACAAATAAAAAAACGTTGGCAACACTCCCCTGTTATTGACAAAAAAAGATATTTTTTTGGTATTTTGAATTCTAAATTCGCTCTTTCGGAAAAATAAAAAATATAGTGAAAAAATAAAGATTATAAATACGTTACATATCTTAAGTTCAAGTGAGGATGAAGAGAAGATTGTATTAGTATTGCAGCGGCGAGTGTTAAGGCAGCCAACAAACATATTTGCATTGCCTGGCCCTTGATTGTGTTGTTACAAAAGTGTTCAATAGTTTCTACTTTCCTTGTAGACTTTTTACCATTGTTTTTTGATCGAGAAGCTTCAATAGTAGGTTACATCAGTCTCGTCATCAGCATTGTCCACTTGCTCATTTTCATGAACTATAACGTCTATTACACTTATGTTTTCCTTATTTTCTATTCCAAGTGCACGACCTGGTGGATTCAATAACTTTTGAAACTGCATTATATTCGCGACAGACTCCTCCAAAGTCATTTGCTTAAAAATGCCACATCCATTGCTGCTGGTTTCACCCTTGTTGTGCACAAGTTTTTTTTAGTTTTAAATTTTAAATCTTTCCAAACCTAGAAGAATTTCAGAAAACTAACTAATAAAAACGTACAAAAATAATTTTCATTTTTACATACTTTTTGCCAGCCATCGGGGTCTCTAATCGGAGTCCCGTTTACATTTAATTTTGTAGCAATGGATTCCCAATCTGAATGAAAATTTGCTGGAACATGACCTTTGGTAAATCCTTTTGCCAAACATGGATTTTTTTTTTTTCAATTCGGAAACCAAAATTTCAAATTGTTTTGCTGTTGTTATTTTCGTGGTCAAACAAATATAAAATACAAAATGCTTACAATATCAACGTCGACTAAAAAGTACTATGTCGTCACAATTTTTTACGGCGACATATATTCTAAAAAATCGACTTCACGTCGACTGTTGTATCGACAATGATAATGGCAACCATTTGTCGCTATCGACAAAAAACGACAACCCTAATATCACTATTGTCACCTCGACTTCATTTTGCGACGCCGACGATAACCGTACCTGTAGTGTACCACATGTGTGTTGTTTACGATTTGGGGAAAATTGAATGTTTGATGTTTTTGATAATGTAAATATAAATAATACAATTCGATATTATGAAAATAATTGCTGGATTTATTTTCTTTGCGATATTGAAGAAAGTATGAAAATATGAAAATTTAAATTCTCCGTGAAAAAGGGTATTTTAGTGGTTGCCACAAGTCTTTATGGATACGCCTGAAATTCGGCCTATTGCGTTATATTAACCAGTAAAAAGGTTCATTCATTTAAAAACAAAAATTCTACGAATGAATGCAACAATATGGTTAATAAAAGTTATTGCCATAAAATTGTATATTTTGGTGGGCCGCTAAATGAAATCAATAAATGGTTTTTATGCAGATAATGTACCTGTTACTTTGTGGTACCGAAAAATCAGTGAATGTAGGTGCAAAAAATTAAATATTTTTTAAAGTATGGCTGAGGGTTTAAAATCAGTTTTATGAGTTAGTGTTAAATAAAACCAAACATTGTACAGGTACCACATCAAAATATGTGTTGATATCCAGGATATAGTTTGCCAAAATTTCGCATCGGAGTACAGGTAGTCTTATTATTATTATTATTATTAAGAACAATTTTTGTTACAATATATGCAAAAAAGCCGATATCCTGCTGTTTAGTTCTTCTGAAACGTTCAGCAAATAATTACAAAAATGCCGCAACCTAAAAATATTATTCTTTTAGATATGTTCAATACAAATGAATCAATCGAAGTTGTGTGTAATTTGCAAAGTTGTAAGAACAAGATTTTAAGTGTACATTCCGGAAATATAGAAAGACACTTAAAGAGATCACATCCTGAGCAATATGCAAACTATATTGAACAAAAACGTGCAATGAAATTACAAAATTGTATTAACGCAGTAATACACTGCGAAGAAATGTAAATCCGAGGAACATCGAACTAGCAATAGTGGAACTATTCACCAAAAGTGGACGTCCTCTGCACATAGCCGAAGATAGGGCCTTCAAAATTCTTATGGAACCAGTTTTAAGTTTGCTCGGAATAACAGTCAATGAGCATAATATAATGGAACGAATTATCACATTTTCCACAAATATTAAAACGGAAAAGGGACATTGTTTTCTCTTAAGATTGATGTAGCAACCAGGTGGGATTTGAGCATGCTCGGTATAAATGTTCAATACATCAAAAATGGTAAAATCATTGTTAAAACATTGGTAATAAAAGAGCTGAAATCAAGTCAAACCGGTGAATATATAAAACCTATTATATTGGAAGTTCTAAGAGAATATGGTGTTGATGTACGCAACATTTTACCATTACAACCGACAATGGATCTAACATATTAAAAACGGTAAAAGTGCTGAATTCGGAGTTACAAATGCTTATGGAATAGGAATCTCAGGATAGCGAAGAAGAAGTTGATTGTGAAATATCGATTTATTAAATTGAGTCAATCGACTTTAATATATCCTCACACCATATTACTAACATTCGTTGTGGTGCCCATACGCTGCAGCTGTGTGTTAATGGTGTTCTAAAACAGCCTACAATAAAAGAAAAAACTGAAAACCTAAGACTCGTAGTGAAAAAACTTCGAAGTAAAACGTATATGAGTATTTTTAAAAATGGGCTCCACAAGAAACCGATAATTGACTGTATAACAATGGAATAGATGGAATTCAACATACAATATGATTGAAAGACTGCTGGAAATAAGATAAGTTGTAACTACATTAAGCAAGGATAATTCGAAATTATGCATTAGTTCTGCTGACTGGTCTTTCGCAAGTGAATTTGTTGGAATATTTAAACCTATTTACACAGCTACAATGAAACTACAAACTGAACAGCTGTGTTATACGTTGTAATAATGGATATTACATTCCAAATAGATGCTTTACCAAATACCGAAATGAAAGTGATACTGAAAGAATCATTGAAGACAAGAATGGATAAACTTTTTGATAACGAACTTTTTGGATCCACGTATTAAAGTCTGTATGACAAGCGATCAGAAAACTAGAGCGCAGATGTACATAGTGTCGTTATATAAGCGAATATACTCAAAAGAAGGTACGTTTGCTATATTAATACCAAAAGTACATACATATGTTTTTAACTATTACCCTTATTTCTTCAGATTCTACCACAGACAATACGGCCTGCACAATACTGGATGAAACTCCATCAACAAGTAATGCATGTACACCGAAATTCTTTTCCGATTACCTGCAAACTTTAGATCCTACCACGCCTACACAGAGTTCTTTAAACATTGATAATTTTGAATCCGATCTATCCACTTATGAAAGAAAATCTAGATTGCCACTAAATGCAAATGTTTTAGAATATTTGGATTCTTCAAACATTATTAGTGGCATTGCGAATATTTTACTGGCAATACCATCAACACAAGTAAGCGTGGAACGCTTATTTTCAGCTATGAAATATATGTTATCCGATCAGCGCAATCGATTGTCACCGTTAAATTTAGAGCATATATTAATGGTAAAAGCCAATGGGATTTTTAATTACCATTTGGGATCAGATTAAAGTTCTTACTGGTGTACTTATATTTTTAGTTTATTACATTTTCTTTTTTTTTTACTTTCTATTTATATTATGTTTATTATATTTAACTTGTTCAATTAATTTTATTAAAAAAATACATTTATGTAATAACAATTAAATACATATAAATAAATCAGTATTAAGTATGTTTCATTGACATATGACAGTACGTTGTTTTATTTATTCTTTAATTTCCACTTATACAAATAGTGATACTAATATCGAATTTTGTGATACTAATATAGAATTTTTGTACACTATGTTAGTGTACTGTTTATTTTCGAACGCTGTATAGTCCCCATATAATGGTACCTCCCTGTCATCAAATTTGTATTTGAAAATTAGGTATTTGAAGTTCGAAATGAATACTACGGCCGATGAAAAAAAATTGTCTGTGCAGGTCCACGTCTTCGTATGGCCCCCATATAACGGTACCTCCCCATATTCGATATTTTGATGGTTTTAGCGACATTACTCACCGGAATTGTTTAAAATTTGGTATTTGAAGTCCGTAATAGATACTACAACCAATAGAAAATTTGAGTCAAATCGCCCAAGCAGTTGTCAAGTTATGTGTTACTATACTTTTTTTAAATTTTATACATATAGTTTTAAAGAAGTATGTGTGGCCAGTTCCTCTGACCACAAGCAGAAACCTAGATTTGGAGGAAGAGTCAAGAGTACGTAAAAGTAAAATGGGCATAAAAACCTAACACGGGGTAGGACGAACATTAAAAAAATATATCCAAATTGGTCCAGCCGTTCTGAACTGATTCAATTACAATCGAACAACAATTGATTTGTATATATAGATTAAAAAGTAGGCGTGGAAAGTCAACAGTATCTCGTGTAATAATTTTCAAACCGATGTTTTCATTATTTTACAAATATAAGGATTTTAGATAAATCAAGTGAAAGTAGACGTTGTCAATATTTTTTTCTTTAAAAACCTAACTCGGGTTATGACGAACGTTTGTACAAAATATTATGCAAATCGGTCCAGCCGTTCTCAGCTGATTCCATTACCGACGAACAACAATAGACATTTATATATATATAGATTGAAAAAAAAGAAAAGCAAATTGAAAAAAGAAAAAAATTCAACTTGTTCGCTGATTTTTTACCGCAAATGTGTGAAGGTCCTTACGAAGATTGTCAATAGAATGTTGTATTCATTTTTTTCCGATTTTATAATTTTTGCAATGAGATAGTCTTTTTCGTGATTTTTTAGCTTTTTAAAAAAGTAATTAAAATATTGATTTTTTGCTTCATAACCTATTATCTTCTGAAATGATATTATTCGTATAATTCCACTTTCCCAATAAATACATAAAATCTATAAATAACAGTTTTGTCCGTTGTCGCTTTATACTCCCCAAAAAGACTACACATCATATTAGAATTAAAAAAACAAAAACACTACAAATGTATATTCGAAAATAGCAAGTCAAAATGGAAGAAAATCATACAATATAAAACATTACGATTTTACATTTCAAAAGTCAAAATGAAAATTTTAAAATTTCACATTTTTAGGCATTTTTTTTGGGACATTATCCTTTTCTGTCAAGAGACCATTCTGAATTTGTTTGAATCGTTAAAATCAGATAAGCGGTTGAGTGATAAGCGTAGTAACTAACACAACTTTCTTTTACAAATATTGATATATTTAGATTAAAAAGTAGGCGTGGTTAGTTCCTCAGCCCCCAAATAATATAATATTTTTCAAACCGATATCTTTATTATTTTGGCAAATATAAGGATTTTAGGTAAATCGAAATAGTGGGCGTAAAAGTGGCCATGGTCAATATTTTTTTCTTTAAAAACTTAATTTGGGGTATGACGAACGTTTGTACAAAAATTTATGCAAATCGGTCCAGCCGTTCTCAACTGATTCCTTTACCAACGAACAACAATTGATTTTTATATATATAGATAACGGTAAATCACATATGACGCACGAAACGAGTCAAAAAACGAGTTGCTGTGGTGCTTTGATTAAGGGGTAGGTTTGAAAATGTGTGCACGTGAAGTACTAAGTAGTACTATCTGGCAATCTGGCATTAGGTGAACAGATATTGCTTGAAATCTGGAATTTGATATGTTCATGTGTAGTTTGCACAGAGACCCAAAATTATTTTCTCCCACTGCAAACGATTGATGAGGATGACGAAGGCGCCGATGAGGATAATAGCGGCATTGTTAAAAACGTTCGAATTCCTTCCATACAACTGCATGAGTTGCGTAGAATACTCAAAGTGACAGACTACTCTATTAAAAAATATCGATTGGTCTAAAACTACACTGTTCCAACGAAGAGGACTGCAGACTAATTTGCGATAAGGCATCGACTCAGTTCACTATTGATTATTTTTCTCATGGTATGAAAAATGATAAGTCATATATAGTCCTTTAATTGGGTATGGATAAAATTGACCCAAAAAAAACTTCAAGCCATACTAACTGAAATTGGTTTAAAAAGGTTAGACGTTAACTGGAAATATTAATCAGGGCTGTCATAGAAACCAATTTTGTCACTATTGGTTTTAAAAACGACAAGAAAAAATGATTTGGTGTCATGAAAATCAATGTTTTCGTTTTTATTTTCGAATTAGAATTTTATCGGTTTTGGTTGTCATAGAAGCCAATGTTATGTGGCGTTTCCACTGCACTTGATTCGCTCTCTATTCGTTGTTTGACCCTTAACTATGAAAAAACTACCTAATTCTTCACACAAAATTTCCTGAGCGAACACTCATATTTGTACGTTGTTCAAATCAAATCACTCTCAGAACAACGAAAAAAAAAGTCGAGCATTTATCGAAAAAATAAATAATAACATTTAAAAATTAAAAATAGAAAAATTTGATGAAATTTTAAAAATTTTTGGGAAGACTGAAAATTATGAATGAAAACTACAATGTTGAATGGCGTATGTACATTCAAACGAAAGTAAATTTTGTTTTCTCTCTCATTCGAGGTACGCATTTGGTCCACGAGTTAAAATTTCCACAGAAAACTGCAAACAAAAAAGGCAATATTTTCAAAATATTTCTATCGGCAGAAAAAATGTTTGACAAGTGTCTCTCCAGCAGAATTTAAAAATGGAAAAACACAATAATATGTTCAAAATGTCTACATTTCCACAAAAAGTTGAAAACGTGAATGAAAATTGTAAAATTAATGATATAATAAATCTTTGGAAGGAAAACGATAATTTCTTCTATTCATATTAGTGAGAATTTCATGTATTTTTGTATAAATTCCCATTAAAATCAACAAACAAATTTTTGAAAAAAGGAATTATTTTACTATGAATTAGGAATCGTGCCATATGAACGGGTTAATTCGTGTACCTAATTCTGAGAGCGAACAACGTTGTTCGGTTTCTAATGGAAACATGCTATTATTGGTTTTGTTATTGGAAATAAACCAAGTTGCTTAAAGCTGTCACTTTTCATTTGCTTTGGATTTTTTAAACAATTTTTAAAGGATATTCGAAGGACTGAAAATGTGGATTTTTTAAACAATTTTTAAAGGACTAGAAACTTGGTTTTTTTTAAATTTTAAAGGACTATAAACGTGGATTTTTTAAGAATATTTAAAGGATATTTAAAGGACCATATACGTGGATTTTTTAAAATAATTTTTAAAGCATATTTAAAGGACCATAAACGTGGATTTTTTTTAAAGAATTTTTAAAGGATATTTAAAGGACCATAAACGTGGATTTTTTAAAGGTCTATAAACGTGGATTTTTTTTAAAGAATTTTTAAAGGACTATAAACGTGGATTTTTTAAAAATTTTTTAAGGGACTATAAACGTGGATTTTTTTAAGATTTTTTAAAGGACTAGAAACGTGGATTTTTTTAAAGATTTTTAAAGGACTATAAACTTGGATTTTTTAAAGATTTTTAAAGGACTATAAACTTGGATTTTTTAAAGATTTTTAAAGGACTATAAACTTGGATTTTTAAAGATTTTTAAAGGATATTTAAAGGACCATAAACGTGGATTTTTTAAGGATTTTTTAAAGAATTTTTAAAGGACCATAAATCTGCAAGGCAGCTTTATGAGTAAGTTCACAATAAAGAAATTTACTTACGCAATCTCCGGCAACTCCAGTGGGTTGCTGAAATCTCTAAGAGCTTTTCTCGTCACCTTTTTTGAGCGTTCTTCGTCCAACAACACAAAAACTACCACTGCTGATGCCATCTTACTTTATTTATAGCGACTTATTCCCTTTTTTATTTACTTTACTTTTACTGATATTTCAATGACAAAAAAAAATCACATGTAAGCAACAACAGCTTTTTCGAACACTGGTTTTATTTACATTCGAAATTGACAAAACCAACTTGGTTTCATGGCACCAAATGAAACCAACATTGGGTTACAAAAACGACAATAAGCAAAACCGACATGGTTTCTGTGACAGCCCTGAATAACTAGCTGGCCCGGTCCGCTTTGCCGGCCCGTAGTTTTAATCTTTAATGTCCATTTTTTTAAACATTTCACAAATCTTGCTCATATAAGCGGCACAATTTTCATTATAAATTTAAAGTGTTTTAACAAACGTGATCCTCTTTTTCCATTTAAGAGTACGGCTCTTTAAGAGTACGAGAAGGCTAACATTTTTGACGCATGTGTATTTTGCTAGGAGATAGGTTAAGTGTGTAATATGGGTTATGTCAGTCCACGTTTCCATATAGCCCCCGTATAACGGTACTTCCCTTTATTTGCCATTTTGATGATTTTAGCGACATTATAAACCGGAATTGTTTCATTTTTTTTATTTTAAGTTGGTAATGGTTACTGCAATCTCTGACAGAAAATTGTCTAAGCATGTCAACGTCTTCATATATTTTGATAATATTAGCCAAGTTTGGCCAAGACCCCGGAAATAGCTGAAATCAGGGGATACCTTCTAAAAACTCAAACTATCAAAGTTTGCTAAATTTAGTTTAAAAAATATTCCGCAAAAAATCGGGTATAATATGGGGGCTATACCAAAACGTAGACCGATATGACAAATGAATTCACCTGTAACCCATAGCACTATATCAAATTTAAGACACTATCGTGAATTTTGTTGATCTGCTAACAGAATACTATGCACTTGGCATTTCCCAAACACTATATTGGTTTTTGCTCAATGCA